ACATATAGACGGTACATTTTAACTGACATTTTACTTTTAACGTAGTACATTTTTAACACAATTTTTCAGGACTGTTCATCTCTCGCTGTGACAAATTTGTTGGCATATGGTTGCTTATTTGCACATGGAGTAACACTGACTTTTATTTGAAGTTGTGTTTTTGGACAGAGAATGAATGAAAAGTAAGTGAGAGCAGTATTTAATGCCTGACAATCCAAAATGATTCCAATGAGCCAGAGAGACTTGTACGCTGTGTAGAGCTGACAGGAAGGGTGATAATTCTCTGTGGGTTAGTCACTGTTAACGAAATCGTCACAGTTATTTGTGTTATTGTTAAAAAGTAGGAGTGGACGTACGAAACAGTGGTGAACATCTAGTTTTTCTGTTGTTGAGATACCCAAAGTACAAACACCAAAGCCTTCTGGACCTCCTGAACATTCTGAGTTGAGTTCTGCAGGTGAGGCACCATTAGAACGCTGCACATATTTCAGTTTAGATGCTTGTCATGTATTTGAAGTATTGTGGCCTAAATCTTTGACAGAAGCTACAGCAGGTACAGAAATGACATTATGGAAAAGTTGTGGACACACTCATGACTCTGTACGCCCACATATCTCTTCCACACACTCATACAAACAACCAAAGGAAAGACAAAAGCAAAAGGGAAAACCAGTTCGACGGCTGCAGAGCTGCGAGGCAGAACACACCCCAGCAGATGTTCAGGCTACATCAATGCTTTTGTGACGACAGGCAAAATTCTAGCAGCACTGTGAGACTTTTCACAGATCCACACCCCTTCAAACGCCTCCACTTTTTTTAATGGACACGGTTCCTTAGCAGTTTAAAACCCAAAGTCCCAGATTGTTACCAGAACTTCCAGCTTTAGCAATTTTAACTTTTTTTGTGATATTCATTCAATTTTGTCCTCAAATCCCAACAGGCAGTTGTACTTTTGGAAACAATGTCAAATCTGAGCTCTCGCTGAAATAAGAAAACTTGAAATTACAACAACCCTCAGAAAAGGTGCAGCAGAAATGACTGATAACCTTAATGTTGCCATAATTGAAAGGTGGCAGCACACACAGCTTGCTGTGTATGTAGCTGCAGACCACCAAAGTGTCCAATGTCAAAAACCTCTAGTGTCACAACTGGTCCATGAATCAATGGAAGACGGTGCCCTGATCCGAGCTACATTTTGTTTCACATGATGTGGATGGTTGGGTACATGTGCATTGTTTATGTGGAAAAGAGAGAACTTCAAGGTACACCATGGGAAAAAAAGCAAGCCTTCAGAGGCAGTGTAATGCTTGGGGTAATGTGCTGGGAAACCTTGGGTCCTGCGTTTATGTGGATTTTAATAGCACCTACCAAAACACTGTTACAGACCACATACACACTTTCATAGAATGAGTATTCCCTGATGGCAGTGGCCCCTTTCAGAAGGATTTTGCTTCATGCAACACTGCAAACATTGTTCAGAAATAGTTTGAGAACCATGGCAAAGAGTTCAAGGAGTTGATTCCCCAGATCTCAATCTGATCATCATACTGTACGTGAGATGTGCTGGAAAAACAAGTCCGATGTGCGATGGCACAACTTCACAACTTCCAGGCCTTAAAGAATCGTCAGAGGTGTTGTGGGGCTGACGGGTCGTACTTGTTTTGGCAGCAGGAGGGGGATCTGCACAACAGAGGAAGCTGTGTTTTCAGTTGTCATGTTACGTATGCAACACCCATCAAAGAGAAAACGCAGTTACAGTTTAAAAGTCACTATGGTGGCAGCATGCTCGTTTGCTTATTGACTTGTTGCTCACATGCATCTTTAAACAATTGCTGAAGTCTGAACTTTTGGACCGTGTTTGACATGCGCCATTGCGGTACGTTACCCTTCACATTGAACACTGTGGATCCCTTCCTGCCCCACCCCGTCAAAACACTGACAATTGTCACAAACACAGGAAACCCACCGGCCAGGGAAACTGTTATCGAGTTATTGGCACATGGGCCCGGGGAGGGTGGCATCCATATCACGAGAGCAGTGGTTAGGCTACTGCTGTGAGGCTTTCAGACTCTGCCGGCTCGCCAATCTGAGACCGACCACAGCAAACACACGGGCGACAACTGCCTGCCAGGCCGGCCACCGGGATAACACAGCCATGCTAAAGGAACAAGGATGGCTGCGCTGAAATTGTGCACGTCTCTGCAAGCAGAGAAGATGGGGTCCTTGTGTTTAAGTGCTGTCCCCTCTATCTGTACAACCCTGCCCCCCACCCACCTACATCCATTTGCTATCATTATGTACTACTGCCCCCTACTGTGGGCCCACGGCTGTGGCGCCCCCAAGGTCAATGTCTGGCAAGGGTGGGGGTGTGGTGGTGGGTGGGGGGAGGATGAGGAGAGGAAAGCTGGGCAGGGGGCCTCTTTACTCCTGAAGTGGCTTTAACAATCAATGGCAAGCAACCAGCCACCACAGGGGCCCCCGAAGGCCCTCACAACACTAACATTAGCGGAGATGTCTTCCTCCATGGGGAGGGAAAGGAGAGGAGGAAGGAGGGACCTGTTGGGAGTTAATGAGGGTGGTGGGGGGTCCCATCAGGGATGGTCCATAAGCTTGAGGACAGGGATGAATGTAGGGAAAATGGACAGCTTCTCAGTAACTTCTCAAGTGTGAAATGTTCTCCTGCACAGTCACTGTGATGGAAATGTAACTGATGATTTGACACGAGTTTCTCAGCCATTTGAAAAATATCTGTCAAAAGTGTAACATTTCAGCAGCAGGACAGAGATGGACGGGAAGACTAAGGGCTGCAGTTCTGTGCAAATGCAGGCCACCGATTCAGACTTGACCAGTTTCTATTCAGAAAATGTGATTGTCATCCAGCCTCCTCTGAAACATGTACATTGGCAAATGGATCTCAGCAGTGGAGCACTTTTCCAAACAAAGGTTTCAGGAGGTCAGGTTCACATTTCTGCTGCATAAACGGCAGCAGTTGTATCACCAAAAATGCTTTTTTCTGCACTTACTTTAAACCGAAATAAATGTCACTGGGCTTATCAATGGCTGCCAATCTACACTCACAAAAATCACTAAAATCTTTTTTTTTTTTTCCCCTCTCTAAAGAAGCAGCTATTCTCAGACACTCAGGATAAAATCCTCAAATGCAATCAATTATTGGTTATTTAACTGATTAGATAGAGATAGAGATCAGATAGAGTTTAGAGTTGTTATATTGTTCAAAAACATCCGTAGCAGGTCATCATCTTCCATCAGCACCGTTGCCTTTTTGCTCTTTAATTTCTCAGGGAGACCCTCTAATGAATCATTACATTTTTTTGGAAAACCAGCACAGATTTAGGACCAAATCCATTCATAACAAAGTAAAGAACTGAGACAGGATGGCTTGTCAGCAGGTGTGACACAAGTTATTTAGTAATGGACTGCCAACATTTAACTACAGTATTACCAAACAGGGAGACCAGCCAAAGAGATTTTTCACAAGCTGGCAACCTTAACCAACTTATAATATGTAACAGATCTACAATATCAGCATCACTGCTTCACAAGATTAACTGTTAATAAAACCCTCAGTTTACACCTTTTAGACCTTTTATAGTCTGAAATATACAAATTAAGATTAATTCTATTTATTTAGCACCAAGTCACAACATATGACATTTGAGGACATCTTACTTACTAAGATCAAGATGTTAAGAGTATTATAGAATAACACCCAACTACCCCCCTCAACCCCCCTCAAGTAAGCACTTGGCAACAATGGGTAGGCAAAACCTCCAGTAACATCCATGTATATTATTATATTATAAGAAGTCTGTCAAACTGGTTGTTAAAGTGACATTAATAATAAAAAATACTTCATAATAGGGATAGCTGTAATAACAACAATAGGAAAAGGCATTTAGCAGCATGAAACGATGAACACTGAGCTGGTACCAGGATAGAAAAGGAAAGAAAGAAAAAAATAACTTTGCTGCTCACTCCCTGTATATCATAACTACAACATCATCCATGTTTGTTGAAATATGTGCAAAACTTGTCTGTCCTTGATTATTTCACCAAAGGTTTGAAACTTTCACAACTGTGTACTTTTTTTGTACCATTTTTTCCCCTAAAACAGCAAAAAACAAGACAAAATGATTGTACAGCTGAATCAGCGTCTCTCTGAAACAGCTCCAGAGAAACTTGAGCAGCAGAACCTTTATGGAGCAGAAAACAGGATCACCACAACCAGATGATGGACAGGGGACAGTTTCTTGAGGCTCTTCACTGGAGTACTCTAAATAAAGAGCTCTGACTCTGCCTTTAGTCCAGGTCAATGCTCGAGCCTCTATCGCTTGTGGGACTTCATTAAACTACAGCAAAACACATTATATTTGTTCAGCTTAACCTGCTCTGGAAAACATGTCTTGACCAGGGCCTTCAGTCTCCCCAGTTGTTGCCTCTGAGTGTTTGGCCATCATCTATAGAATCACTTAATGGAGTCGGGTTTTTGGGTTTTTTTGCACTGACAACAGCCTTTTCACAAAAAGAGGAAAAACTTTCCCTCACTGACACTTCTCAGTTCTGGCCTAAGGTGTAGGTCTTGGTTGCTATTTTGGAAAGTGTTTAGCTCTCAATCCATCTGCAATAGTTACCTCAAATGTGTCAATCATGATAACACTAAATAAAAAGGTGGTAAAACGTGTTACACTGGAGTTCCATCACACTCTCACCCTCAACCCTGAAACCTGTAATAACGATAACAAATAGGGGTCAATTTAATTTCCTCTTTATTACAACAGGCCTGGATTTTACTACATTGAACACAATTAGATATGAACATATATTAGCAGAGTGTATCAGACACAGCCAATTAAACTTAAAGAAGAGGAAAGACAGCAGGATGGAGTGTATGAAGAGCTGGATGTTTAGGTGCTAATTGTTTTGGTTCTGCCTCTGGATTTCTGGGCAAATCTGGGCAATGTCTGGGTACCCATCTCCATCAGTCTAGATTTGGAGTCCCTGTTTTGCACTGCTGGGTACCTTCCTGGTTCTAGGGGTCTTCTTGGGACTTCTCCTGAGAATGTTCTTCACTTTGTTCCGTTTTCTTTACTTCTGCAGGAAAAAAAAATCAGCGAGGTTAAGCGGGGCTGCAAAGCATGTTGCCACTAAAAGGCAGTACCTTATTGATACACAGTTAACAGATACGTTCTAATCTTTACGTCTCCAACTTCCCCATCTAAATATATTTGAATCAACTGGGTATACACAACCAGCAGTTCCTACAGGTGGGGATACCTGATATATTAGAGACTGGGATGATTGGCTGATAAGTAAGACAACTAAAATTAAAATCTTATTGTTCTTTTAATTTTGGAATGAGTCAAAAACATTTTCACAGAAGTTCCAGCAGTGGTAAATGACTTTAAATAACCTAAAGGTATCGCAAGAGAAGAGGAAACCTACCTTTTTTTTCTTGATGGGACTTCAGTTTCAATGTCCTCTGCTGCTTTCCTTCTCCTGGTCTTCTTCTGAATGGAGAGGAAATGAGAAAAATGAAGGGAAAAGGTACCACTTGTTGCTGTCAACTAGAAAGTGCACACTGCAGCTTATGTCTCCTTCTGAGAGATCAGTAGAACCAGCCACAACACTGCCTAAAAGTTATCCATCAAAATAAGACATAACTGCCACATGGTACAAAAGGGGGCCAACATGTGAAGTGCAACACAATCTTTTAGATGTTTTCATGGATTTAACAAGGCTGTTTTTGTTTTTTAACAAAAACCAAGACGCAAAGAGGACGTCAAAGCTCTTCAGTTTTGCAGCATGGTCTGATGGTGAGAGGAATAAAGAGACAGACACTGGGACAAGGCCTTGACTTGGCAATGAGGCGAGCTGACTTTTCATACCCTCCAGTCGTCTTTTTAGAATCTCTAAAAATACAGTTATCACTCTTCCATCTCAGCCACCAGGACTTCATATACATGAACCCATTAAAATCTCTGGTTACATATTCCCCTGCTTTGGCCACAGAGCACCTATCAAACATTCCAACTTCCTATCTTTGCTTGTAAGGTTTGTCAGAACCACTGCAATTTTTCACAACTGTGACTTTATTGTTTCTGTCCTCTCTGCAGAAATCAAAGTGAGCGTCGGGTCTGCTGGGGATTTTGAGAGTCATGCACTTATCAAACGCAAGCAACTCCTCCATCCATCCTCCTCCTTCCTGGGCCTATAATGAAGCTCCACTCAGTCTGAACTATCACTCTCCCCTCTGCCCCCATTTCCATTTCTGCCTCCATTTTGACAATTGCTACCTCATGATCACCATGCGGCACCCGCTGAGGTGAACAGATTGGCGGGATAATTACATACAATAACCAGCGCCGGGGCCCAGTAACCCTTCGGCTGGCAACACCATGTCCCCGGTGGCATCTTCCATATGCACAGAGAGCGAGTGTGAAAGTGAGAGAGTGGAGATAAAGACAAAGATGAAAAGCATAAACCAAATTTAACACTGATTGTGCTGTAAATAAAATACATGTTAGAATGCAGCCCTATTTAAGTGCACACACTGTAGCTGCATGTTGCTGTACAGCTGGTTGTTCTCACTGCAAAAAATAAAATAAAAACTGTGCTGCTTTAATTGCCTCCATAAAAGTTATAATCCTACTGATTTCAGGGACAGGGGCTTTAGCCTCAGTGTTTCAGCGTATTATCAGATAAGTTCCAATCAGTGCATATTTAATAACATTTTGCAGAGTTCTCATTTTATAACTTGTTAGCTGCAGACTTGATGCTTTTCTAAATTTTTGTTGTTGTCAAATTATTACTCCTGTTCTATTGAGGATACTTGGACTTCAATGCACTTGAGGAAGCAAAGTCTACACAACTGTTGAAGCCATAAATATTGACGGTCACTAGTTAGAAATGATAAGCTGCTTTTATCTAGCCCTGTCTAAATTCAAGTGCACATTCTCTAAAATATTACCACAACAAACAGTAAATCTGCTGACATCATCCCTGCGAACTGCACACGTACTGTGTCAGCTACAGAATGCAAGTATATTGGATAAAGAAATAAAACCAGTAAGTTGTCAGAGTGGGTGACTGATATAATCTGGAAACTACGATGTTTGGCCATATCAGGGAAATATAACAAGTTAACCATACTACCGGACATGTTATCACCAAATAATGTTGAATAATGTCTATCTAAACAGTTGTTAATTCCCTATCCAGAAGGTAGAGATAAAAATGTTTTTTTTTTAATTTGGAGTAACATTTGTGTCCACCTAATAAATGGAATAAGATATTTAGCCTGGGCTGCCTGTGCCAAACTGTTATGACATCTGTTACCACGGCAGTGTCACAGCAGGGGGGTGCCGGCAATAAGCCGTGGTAGGTAGCACGGCTGACCAGGTCAAAGCAGCGCCAGTGTCTTCCCCTGACCACAGCTCCTCAACTGAACTGGAGATTCAAGAGCAATCTGTAAAATCTTTGTGTTCACCTCTCAGTAAGTACGTAGCTTTTACCCAAATGGCTACAGTTTCAGTCTGTGTCCCTGTTTTATATTCAGACATATTTGATTGGTTACTTATGGGAAAGGTAAAATTATCCAGGTTGCTGCCTGTCTCAGCTTGTGTGCTGACCTGAGCAGGAGCTGACACTGCTCCATTGACAGCAGTGAACTCCAGTTTGCCGTCATCTTTAGCCTGGATGGACTTCAGTCCGGCCTGCAGGATGGAGCGCAACTCCTCGTACGGTGGTTTCTCCTTGTAGTCGAGAGATTCAACCTTCTCCATGAACTTCTGGATCTCAACTGTAAAATAATGATGCACCAGTAAATTGACATGTTAGTTATACATCCTTCTATTCTACAGGACATCAAGTCTTGTGCTGCATGTTTCCTTTGCCTTCATTTTGTTTGCACTCGTCATTTGACATTTTATGTTTGATGTTTGTTTGATGAGGAAGAAATATGTCACAAATAATCCTGAATAGACTGAAATATTTCCCACCCTGATGTTACACACCATCTTTGTTTCAACACTGATCGCAATAATGTTCTACTGTGGCTGAATCGTCGGGCTTAATTCTGTTTGGTGTGAGTTTCTTCAGACTTGACACAGAGTGACAAACACAGACACAGATGGAGTTGTAAACAACAGTTTGGTTGTGCTCACTGGAGCAGAAGGAAGGAGGTGTGACGTCTCCTCTGTCTGAACCGCCACATTGCCTTCAGGTCAAAGTGCCGACATTAAAAAGGCAACTCTTACCAGTGTGAGACAACAAACGTCAAAGTCGCCGTTTACAGTCGCAACTTAAAGTGTTTGCTGCAGTGTGTGTTGCTAGACTTCTATTGTAATGAAAACCAAGTAGGTCTCTGTGTGAAAGACTATAATTAGATTAAATTGAACATAAATGGAAAGTTTTCACTTTAATAGACAGGAATAGACAAAGTACCATTTTAAAAACCTGGCTAATGCTGCATCTTTTTTAGGCTGACATTAATATGTAAGAATAATAATACTAATAGTAATTATATAACTATGATGATTGATTTTTGTTACTATTATTACAGCTAGCTCATAATTGCTGAGTGGAATTTTTTTCGTGAACGATTATAAAAACATAACAAAATAAACCTATTGGGATGTTCTGGTGAATAAGGTGTGCAATGAAGACACCATTTCTGCATCACCTCTAACACATTTTTATATTTCTTTAATGCAATGCATTGAAATGTATCAAATAACATTTACAATAAACTTTGATATGCAAAGCCACAAACTCCAGTGGGTACATCACGCCACAGTGTGTATTTGCTTGTTAGGAAAATTTCGCTCTAACTCTCGCGTTTAACACCTTTGCGTGCGTCTTTCTTACCTGGTTTGTCCGTAGATGAAAAACACTCGGTCATAAACTTAGAGATGTTTTCTTGACACCTGTTTGATGGAAACAAGCAGCAACATTTCACCCACAAGTTGAAAATTCTTGCTGTAACACAACAAAAATGACATTTAATTTGTAAACTAAAAATTTAGATGGTAGTGTTTGCGTTTCTCTAACCTGATTTTGGAGTCTCTGACGTACAGGGGGTCCTGAAGCTTGTCCTCCCATGGCAGCCGACCACATAACCACTGAACCATGCAGTAGCTCAGGATCTGTAGATCACTCCGCCTACTTGGGGCTGGAGCCAAACAACCACATTAGCAGCAACAAATACTGGCAGCAAACACAGTGTCCTTCAGGCACCGACATTAAAAGCATCATAATGTACTGCTGAAATATACCATGACACAAAACACCTGATATAATACGGTTCTAAGTTGCAACACATCCATTAAAGTACTAGTTCTCCATTCTGGAAAAAAAAATAACAATAAATAAAATACTAAATTTGCTTTCTTTTCAAATGTGATGTGAGAAGATCAGCATCAATCCCATTGCATTTGCAGAGTTAACATGAAGGCTGGAAACAAGGGGGAACAGCTAGCCTGGCACTACCAACCTGCACCCACTAACACACTATATCTGTGCTTGTTTGGTTTTGACCCAAAGAGAAAAGTAAAAATGACAATGGCTTTAGGCTGAGTTGGAAAACGACTTTTTATCCTGATTACAGCCAAGTACCTAAAAAACAGACATGAAATTGATATAGATCTTCTCATCCCAATAATAATGAATAAACTCGCATCCCCAGATGTTGATTCATTTACCTTATTAGTGCTGCACTGTGTAATTAGTATGACCAGTGTCAAGGCAATCAAACATTTATACACATTTTTTACAACATTATAGTAATACAGACCTGAGAGGTATATTATGAAACAAGTTTGTCGAGCTGGCTTACACAAAGAAAGCCTGGCTATGCCAAAGACTAAACCCCTATTCAGAGATAATGGGTGTCACAATGGCGGATATCAACTATCAACAATTTATTTTAACCCAGGCTTTCTTCTTCAGACTTGGTGCCCGTTCATACAAAAGGGGGCATTCAACAGATCATGTGATTGTTATTCTACACAAAATGGAATGACTGCGTGCCAACTACACTAGTTAGGAGAACAGGTTGTTCTTATAATGGAGAGATATGAGGAATGTAAAAATGTATTACAGTATAAATACATTCTGAAACTTTAAAGTTCATTCATTTAAACATGATACTCAACAAGTATATTTAGGTTAAACACTGTCCCATAATGATGGAAACCTGGAAATCACTTTAGATTTTAGCCAAATCAAAGTGAAATCAAAGTTACTTATTAACTGTGAAAAAAACAAAAACAAATATTAAGTCCAATATCAGCACAAAAACCCATTTATGTCTTCTGCATCCCCAACTGAATACTGAATAATCTTGCTTAATAGTGCCCACCTGTTTTGTTAAGTGTTTTGGGTTCATAACTACGAGCAGTATACTTGTACCTACATGCTCCTTTGTGGGCATCGATGCTTGTGAACTCAATGGTACCATCGTGGCACCTCTTGGGATTTTCTTTGTACTCTTTGACGATACCGTCTGGTGCATACCTGAATGCCAGCCCATAATCTACTAGGTAAACCTACAGTTAACAAACACAACACAAAAATGATTCAGGCACGTACACAGACATGCACAGAGCATGCAGAATTTAACCAAACATTTATGCAAACACGTGTCATGTTTCTTGAATTAAAATCGCATCGTTAAACAGTTTCACCTGTGTTCATGCCCTACACACAGACGTAGGTCAGAAGCACAACAACAGATGATGTCACCCTTTTTGGATGAAAATTTTAATTCCACTAATACATAATTATTTACTTGGTCTGCATTGTGCTTATACTCCTGTTGGCGTTAATAAAGAAACATACAGAAATAAAACCAAACCTACTTCCCAATAAGTCAACACACACAAAAAAAAAACCCTCAACCTTACCTACTATGAAAATCCTGGGGGGACAATTTTTAAATTGTCATTTATAAATAGCTCTTTAATAACACCACCAATGATACATTATTAATCTTCAAATTAAATATTTTCCCCAGCCCCCACCTTGTTTGCTAGGAAAAGCGCTTTGCTGCTGCCATCTAATCTTCCCCATTTGGAGCACACACACACAGACACACACAGAGAGACACACACACACACACACACAGACACACACACACACAGAGACACACACACACACACACAGAGACACACACACACACACAGCCTTAATTGAATCTAATGAAGCGGTATGAGTGTGTTACAACCAAAAAACACAATCATCCTCCTGCTTTTAAAGAGCAGCACCGAGGTCACAGTAGCTTCTTAGTGTCCCAACAAGTACAGTGTTGAACATTTTAGGCTGTGAAAGCACATTTCACATTCATTGCTGCAAAATATAATGTAATGATTTTAGCCAAGATGCTTTAACTATTACTGACCTGGTTGGGATCGCTGTAGCTCAACATGAGGTTGGATGGCTTAATGTCCGCATGTACGTACTCATGGTCGTGGATGTACTCCAGAACATTAAGCTAAACAAGGAAAAACAATGTTGATCTCATGGTGCTACAGGCAAAATACATATTTTATCATTTTTGTTTTTATGTTTTCATTTTGATGGAGCCCATTTCTACATGGTATTAAATAATGAGCCATAACTGGATTAACAAAAAAACTGGCAATTTATGCAGGTATAAATCCATGCAGGACACATTGCAACCAGAGCGTGATCAGATAGTCCAGTCCACATAGTGTAAATATAGGCCTGGGCAATAAAAACAATAGCAATACGTACTGGCAATAGTTACTTCATCAATAACAACAGCTTGGCTAGATAGAATGGTAAATAGTGTCACCTAAATGCATTAGATGAAAACCATCATGAAATGCTCATGATTAAAACAGTTCCTGCAGCTCGCTACGTGGGCTAATAGACTTGATAAAAGGATGCACACGGACAACGGTGTGGGGTCTCCGTCCGGTGACGACTGCACCTGAACAGTTGGAAGCTTAACCTCAGCATGATGTGGCAGCTTTGTAATGGTCACAATCTATACACCTGTGGAATTTAATTGATTTTTATATTTATTGCGTATTAAGGTGAGATTATTCTTTTATCCTTACTTATGTATATTTATGTGTATAAAGATATCTGTTTTTGTTTGTCATTGTAGTATTACCGTAAAATTACCAACTCTGTACCTTGATAAAGAGGCTACAGTGGTTAAATCCAAAGTAAGGTAGTTATATTCATATTTAACCCTTATTTCTATGATCTGTATTAAGAAGAAGGTAATTAAAATGTATCAGTAATTTTGATAATGACTGATGTTGACTGAAATGAAATATATAATTGCGCTAAATTTTTCAGCTAAGTTGCCTGGCCCAACGTGAATACAGTCAGCATGGTTTGACCACATGCTTACGAGGGACATCGGCTGGGCAGGTGAAATGTCACATGATTCTACCTCTTGTCCTGAGTGGCTGTCAACTGCAATCTGTCAACCAACAACTACCTCACACTAATATTACCTTGTTGAAAGAATGAAAGCATCCTAAGGTCTAGTTCACAGTTGCCGCTCAAGAGCATCCAACACCGCTGTCCTTGATGTCTCCCTAACTCTGCTTACCTAATTTGCACATTGACATCTGATCACTATGTGACCAGAATTAGGACAACATGTATTAATTCCAGATGTAAATGCAAATACTCATCAGATGCCATTATCTGGGTAAATACTACAAATACCAGGTGTATGTCAAAGCACAATCTGACTATCCTACAGCCACTTTGCATACCGGACACTGACAGTTAAGCATCATTGTCAAAAAAATAAAGACTCTTCACTTTTGGATTTTCGATGAGAGATTTGAGGTCACAGAACAGTTGGACCTCTGCATTTTCTGCCATATATCGTCAATATGCAATTATTTCAGATGTCTGTAGAACATTCAATAACAGAACATTGATGGCTCCTTCTTATCCAACACATTCTTTTCAAATTTACATTCAGTTGCAATACTGCAATCCTCTTAACCTGTTGTTTCTGACTGAACACCAATTATCAACTGTGAGCAAAAGAAATCATTTCATTATGGAATAACCAACCAGTCGAAGACCAAGCTGCAGAACCAGTTTTCTGGGAAATCTCCTTCCACATTCTTCAAACTTCTTCTGCAGATCTGTGCCAAGCCTGTCAATAACCATGAACCTATACCTGGTAGACACAAAGAGGCTTCTTTAGCACTTCAGACAAGCTCTTCTATACCGCTGGTGTAGTTCTGTCATCATTTGCATGAAAAGAAATAGATATATGACAATGTACCAAAGCAGAACTTTAAAACATACTGATCAGGTCATCTTTCCTTTCTCAAAAGTAGGCATTTTTCAGCCCAGATAGACAAATATTAACATGCCAGTTTCAGAAACATTTGGCAATGTCTGCAGATCTTGGCAAAGATATAAACGATAACTACTTTTCAAATCCTCATATATCCTTGCTAAAGAGAACCTTTGAACCTTCATAAAAAAGTTCTACCATACTGACAGATGTTTTGTTATTCATCATATAAACATGAAACAAATTTAAGTCTGATTAGAAATTCCATTTACCTCTACTTCTAGTATATGTATTTTGATCTACCTGGCTTTTATATGTTCATTAAAAAAAAATCTGAGAATTATCTTGATCAGACCTTATGAGATGTTGCAACTGACTGAGTGGTGATACTAAAATGAACTACACATCATCATTTGATGTCAAATATGTGAGTAAAAGTTTCTGGCACAGTTCTTTGTGGTATGTGGGTGCAAACAAGGATTAATCCTCATTTGTTTACTCTGTTACTTCAGAGCTTGGCTCTGAACAAATCTTTATCTAATAGCCAACAAAACTGAAACTACAACAAACCTATCCTCAGATTTAAACCAGGGAAGGTCTATGTAAAAAAAATAAAATAAAATAAAAAGGAACGATAATGACATACATTTTGCCATTTGGAAGACTCTTGTTCATTCATCCAGCTACTAACTTGGTGTCAAACCTTTGTATTTTAGCCGTCAAACTGAATAACAAAAAAATGACTCATGTTATTGTGTAAACTTGTATTGCTAGCTATCAAGATAACATATATCATTTTTTTATTTTTAACATTTCTGAGGAAACGTTATTTGAGAATCAGACCTAAAACCACTAAGGTATAGCTATACCACAAACACCTTCGTTGAGTACTAATTTTCTTTACTGTAAGATGTTAATGCTTGAAACTACCAGACTTACTTTTTGCCTCCACTTTCATGCAGACCTGAGCCCCAGTATCTGGGAACTCCCAAATGTTTCAACTTATGAGACTTCATCCAGCTCTCAACTGCAAGAAAAGGGGAAACATATCAGAAATGCACTTTTTCTGGTTAAAGTGGGCAAGCACTTTGTGTAATGTAAGTCAAAGACAGTTTGGTAACTAACACTTCTTGTTAAAATCAGTGCCAACTGGTGCTCGTGTAAGTGGGTGATGGCTACGACGCTAAAAGTAATAAGAGTATAATTCCGTGGGGGGAGCTGGCCAGCATGGCTGCAAGCTAATCTGCTGCTGGGACAAATATTTACCAACAACGTGAGATTCCAGCATGAATAAAATATGAGCCTTTGGTTCCTTAGTAATATAACAGTTAATTGTCGGGGGAGATTGACATTTGGATTGTTATTATATAAAATGCAAAGCTGTGGCCTGGGGGCCAACAGCACTGCCACCAAAAGCTTCCTTTCCTTTATGGCGCCCCTCTGAGCCCCTGCTACAAGACTGTCTTTTTTAATTAAGAAAGTTGCCTTTCTTTTATTTGTTTGCCCTGGTGGTGAAGCACTATTTGTGTTATGATCACAAAGCTAACTTTGGCTAGGCGACATACTTCTTAGGTATGCATGTGTTTGTAGGAAATAATACTGTGGCTTACTGAGATCAGGCTTCGCAGCTCTCATGTAAAAATGGAGCTCAGAGAACAGTGGTCCATTGTCACTGGGCTCCTGTGGACACATCAACAGGTATATTTAAGTCTAGATTGGACTGTATAACCCAAAAACAGCATTACAAACAACGATGTCCAAGGATAGACACCTGCGTTTACATACACTTGAAAGATCACACATATGATGGCAGTGTTGAGTTTCTAATGACTCCAACTTGCTCTTTCAAAAATGTATTATAGTTCTTCTGGAAATATGGCACAATTTGCTGGTATCAGTGTTGGTGATGTAGACAGTTCTGTTTAAAATGATCACATTTTCAAAGTGGCATGACCTCCTCTCATGAAGGATTACGATTGACTACAGCTGCTGACTTCTCTGAGCCAACTTCAACAAGGCTCATTTGATACACTTATCATACTTAACAACAAACGCTACAATGGGGAAGTGTGGGGAGCTCAGTACAGAAATGACAAAGCAAAACATTAACTTGAACAAGTTGAGAAAGTCACCTGGAGCCTTTGCACAGTCGATTTTAGGATTAGTAGCTGCTTTGAAAACAACTGTTTTCAAGTATGGTAAATGATGTGCACTTATATAGCGCCTTTCTACCTCAGTGGTGATCAAAGTGCTTTACTATATATTTCCAATTCACACACAAGTTCATACAGCAAAGGCAACAGAGCTGTCATGCAAGGTGTCTGCCTGCCATTGGGAGCACGACAGTTGTGTCAATCAGGAAGAAAATGCAAACAACTACCTGCTGCTGATTTGGTCAGGATGGTTAAATGTCAACTGAGAATCTCCAAAAAGCAAATATCCACAATAAATTAGAAGCTGCTGGAGCGCAGATATCCACATTGAAGTGTGTTTTACATTGCCATGGGCTGACAGGCTGCCACACAAAAAGGTAGCCCCTCCACTAGAAGCAGCACCTTAAGGCTCCAGGGACATTTGCTGCTGATCACATGGACAAAGAGAAGGCCTTCTGAAGAAAGTTCTGTGATTAGATAAAACAATAAATGGGCTACTTGACCACAATGACCAGAAATATGATTTCAGAAGAGAAGGTGAGACCTTTAACCTCAAGAACACCAAATCTACAATCAACTGCTGCTACACACAAAGTAACTTAAATGATTAATGAAGGAGAACTACTTCCATATTCTACAAGAAAACCTAAAATCTTCAGCAGAAGTTTGTGGATGACTAACAAAAGAAATAACGTGAAAATAGTCAAGAGACATTCCACCTAATGTTGGCAGGACTGTATGTATGTTTTTGATCCAGCAGATTTTGCCATATTTCCAGAAGATCTATCAATAATTCATTTAATAAAAGGACCAAAATGCATGATTGTTTTTTTGTGTTTGTTTGTTTTGGGGTTTTTTTTTAAGAAAAAAAAACACATGTCCCAGTGTTACACACACACATATATACTGTATATGTCACAGTCCAAATTAAAATCCAGGCAGAGCTTAAATCTGCCCAGACAAGACTGAAATTTTGTTTTGATTTGGTCTAGAGAGATTTTAAATCTGCCTGAGCAGAACTAAACTTTTTATTTCACCTAGACCAAATTAAAATCCTTCTAATATCATAATGAGGTTGTAATCCTGCCTGTGTAATTGAAATTGGAAACCTGCCTAGGAAGGTTTAAAATTTGACCACACCAAATTAAAAATCTGAATTAAATCAGAATTATAAGATTGATTTCACGTAGACCAAATTAAAATAATTCATATATATGTAGTATTTGTACCAGTCTTGTGTGACTGTTCAACATGTCAAAAGATGCATCACACCTCTTCATATGTATTTGAATGAAAATGTCGGTGTGACCCTTTGATGGTTACCGCATTTAAGAATGTGAGGTTCACACACGGTGAAATGTGGAGATCATAGATTTAAAATTTGCCCAGGCAGGATTACAATCTCATTACGATATAAGAAGGATTCTAATTTGGTCTAGGCAAAATGAAAGTTTTAGTTTTGCCCAGGCAGATTTCAAATCTGCCTAGATGTTAATTTGGAGAGAGAGAGAGAGAGAGAGAGACAGAAAGAGAGAGAGAGCAAGAGAGAGAAAGAGAAAGAGAGAGAGAGCAAGAGAGAGAGAGAAAGAGAAAGAGAGAGAGAGAAAGAGAAAGAGAGAAAGAGAAAGAGAGAGAGAGAAAGAGAGAGCAAGAGAGAGAGAAAGAGAAAGAGAAAGGGAGAGCAAGAAAGAGAGAGAAAGAGAAAGAGAGAGAGAGAGAAACACATATAGGAATGTTTAATCAGATGAATTAAGAAACTACTTGGAAAAAATGACCTATTTTTTAAAATAATATTTAAAATAATCCTGTAAAATGAAGTCAGAGCCAAGCTTTTTACATGTATTTGATAAAATAACTGATGATTAGGTAGAAATTATTCTAAATTAGATATTTATATTATATCCAAAACATACATACATACATACATACATACATACATACATACATACATACATACATACATACATACATACATACATACATGAAACTTGATTTTAAAAATTCATAGGGCTAAAGAAAGGCAAGAGTACAGTAAACATTATGGCAGGCATTTGCTGGTACTATGGAGGTATTTTATTAGATTGTGCTCATGTAATGTATATGAAACAAAAAATAATGGAAACAACTGTTTAGAAGATGACAACATGTAAACAATTATGGTCATGTTTTGTGGTTGCTTAGTCTCACCACTTTGATGACATACGGAGCATCAGCACCCACAGGCTTTGCAGAATTCTCATCAGCTGGAAAACAAGGAAGGAGTTTCAGTACTTAAATATATGCTGAAATTGCCCAATTCCAAGCTGCATTTAAACATGTGAATATCCGAATGCATGTGTTAAGTTTTACATGAGAAAAAAACAAAGTCTAAAACCTGTACTGCTGATTGAAAACTGATGGCTAAAAACTGTAGTGACTTTTAGCAGTGCATGTTTCGGTTTTGAACTAGTCCATCAGTTTCTCATGTGGTCTTACCTAAATATATGATTCCAAATCCCCCCTGTCCGATCGGAGCCCCCAGCTTCCAGGACTTCTTCCCAGTGGCTGTGAGGACTTCTCCAGGTGGAAACTCCTCTGCCAGCTTTCTCTTAGCTGGAGCTCTGCCCTTCCCTGCCGCCTTGGCTTTAGGAGGCATCTGAAACGCACAAACACCAGCTGATGTTGGTGCTACAGCTTTAAAACTTCATGTATGATGAACGTAGGTTTCTAAACGGAAGCTAAGTGAAGCTAGGCTGTGAATTGCGACCACATCAGCTTCTCATACAGTGCTTGCCAACGAATGTTTACCGGAAATATGAATTAGAAACGAAAGATTTTATCTCCGGTGCTGAATAAAAAGTCACGCTCAACAATCTACTTAGAGAAGTTAGCGAAGTTAGCGAACCACATCCGGTGTTGCCCTGTTGCCTCCTAGTGCAGTTTAGCAAACGTAACAACAGGTAAGTAAACGTGAAGTGCTGGTCTGTTTAGTAACAAGGTAACAGCCTCATTAAAACTGGAAAAGATATTTGAATTTTGTTCAGTGATGAACCGAATACGTTTTAATAAACACTGGTTAGCTATTATGCTAACCGCGCTGCTCCGTTAGCATCAGTGTCTCCAGTAGCTGCTACATGACGGCGTTTAAAAAAAAAAAAAGCAAACAGTCCTGAATACCTAAGATGTTATCAATCATCGTTACGTAACATACAGCAACAAAGCAAACGTGAAATACACACCGTTACTTTCTGTTTACGGCTGACCGAATGCGTCAGTGTGTGAGGACCAAAGTTCCCGCAAAACTACCGGTCAGGAAGTAACGTCACGGCACTCTGCTCTTCTATTGGTCAATGACGCAGCGTGAGTCATGACGTAGGGCTCCGTTTCCCTCTGAAATATGAATCAAACATCAATATGAGTTCCATGTTTCTGTCCAAGACAGCCATAGACACAGTAATAGGAGAAATAATCACCTGCCAAAACTTCATAGAGCCATTTGTGATAGTTTTATTCATTACTTAATTTATTAATTCAGCCTTGATTTAAACTCAAAATACTTTGAGGTATGAAGGCTTAATTTACAACACAGCAGATATACAATACAAATTAAAGCCGAAAAAGCAAGCTGCAGCCAAACAAACAAACAAAAAAGAACGTGGATAGCAATAAAATATTAAAAGGCAAAGTTAGCACAATAATAGAAATGGCAATCGGAGCATTCAAAATCTTAAATAAATAAATCAACTAAAGATGAAGGGCTGGAATTAAAGTAGCAACAACTTCAGGCTGAAATATTGTTGGTTTGTTTTAAAACTGAATTTAATACAACTCACTTGCTTCTGAACATTGAGTCCCTCAAAATGTCATGATTTTGACTTTAAATTCGACTTTCAATCTCCAAAATCAGTCACTACTGTGCTGTCGGTGTGGTTTGGGTGTTCTCATTCTTTTTAATGTCCATCATTACTTATTATGCACTGTAACAGTGAGAAGTACAAGAAAACAATGTGATTAGGCTCAGTTTGTATGAACATGTTCAATTAAAGTCCAATTAGAATAGATTTTTCTTTTTCTTACATCTCTTTCTGTTGATGTTTCCTACATAATTCAAGAGATTTTGATCAATGTGATTGTGGCATCATATTCTTTTTGTTGACTATAGGTTGACACACAAATTTGTAAAATAGTGGAATGTCCAAGGAAACAGTCAGCGTAATCTACTCAGCACTACTCTTCGCTTCTGACAAATGGCAATCCCAGTGCAAAGCCTCATAGAACAATCTTCTTCTTCTTTTCCTTTTCTTTTCTTTTTTTTTTCTGTATCTACTTACAATAAAATTGCACATTTAAACAATACCAAACCTTGATCATATTTCTCAAAAGTCACTGAAAATCATTCTTGTTATTAGTGCATTCCTTATTTTATTGGACCAATAACAACCACAAAAAAATTTTTTTTCAAGTAATTCCACATTTTTGTTATTACTAGCCTCTGCCAACTTGAAATGTCAGCTTGAAAGTAAAAGTGCATGACGCTAAAATGGTGATTGACAGCCAAAAGACATTTTCAACAATTTGCACATCTCCAGTAAAGTGAAATAATATTTTTTATGGAAAACACCAACGTGTGAAAACTGATAAATGAAAGGCTTTACATATGACATTACTTCAAAACATTTGTTGAAGCTGCATTAATTAGTTAATTGGCTAATAATATAGTTATTTTGGGTCGTGTGTTAGCAAATGCATCCACAAGACACAGAACAACATTAACACTACTTGTCACTTTGAGTCACATGCTGTTACAAGTCAAATCTACTCTCCTTTAAGCTCTGCTTTGGTCTGCAACTCCGGAATATGTTTGACTACTTTTGTTCCACAGTGTTCACCAGCTGGTCAATAATCTTGTCTCTCATGTTGTTTGGTGCCAGGCAGGTACTGTAGACATGAGTGCAATTTCGTAATGGGCACTTTTTTTTTTTTTCTTTTAGAACCCTGGTCAAAGAATTACTTTCCAGAACCATATCTGCCCATCTCATCACCTGCATACTCCCAAATGGTGTTGCAAGTGTTGGATTTAAATAGGAATGTAAATGTGTAGAGCCTTACCTATTTTGAATGTGTCATTTGATACACATATATTGGGTGTCACTTGCAACATAGTGCACAGCTCATGAATAAGATATTGGTTAGTGTCTTGTCTTTCCAAGCACCACGGAGTGAAGAGAGCAGCACTTCACAACCAAGAGGGCTGCTGGAACACCTGTTTATACACCAATTGTTGCACACTTCTTATCCCTCTTTATATTAGGACTAGGAGTACTTCAGTAACTGTTGCCATGGCTCTATGGAGGAGATAGGATGCGACCATTGTTGACACCTAAAGCGTTTCCTGCTTGAGCTAAACCAACCTGTTGCCTTCAAATTCCAGTTGAAAGTTCCACGGTGGAGTCCTACAGGGAGAGATGACTCGCTGTAGTGACAATGATGAGGAGACTGATGACAGCACAGAGAAAGCCAACAAAAACCAGAGGAAGAGAAGTAAAGGAGAAAAGCATGTGTCTTTTCCCCCTGATGAACAGATAGTGTCAGGCTTTGCTGAACACAGGACCACTGACAGAAATGGTAAGCTGCTGTTTAACTAAGTGTCAAGTTGAATGCAAATCTGATGATGATACCATAATGTCTTGTTGGCGACCTTTGGTCATCTGTGCTGAGGTTAACGACTTAACAGAGCTTTTCTCGTTATCCTTGATTTAACAAAGATGGTAAATAATTATGGAATATCTGGACTTGCTCATATTAACAACATTTTCCTTTAAGCTCTTTATACACTGTTTTACAGCTAGCACTCACTATATTCTTTTTACTAGATGTCATCTTGTTTAAGACTAATGTTATCATTAAGTATAATAAATATGATGCTAGTTTCCAAAATTAGATCACACACAAATGCAGCTGCTTAGTTGCAAAACTTGGACTGTCCATATGTCTACACACCTGTTTTGGTGAGCATGGCCTGTTATCTAGTGCTTAAATCACTAAGTTGTTGCACCTATAGCTGCAACTGCAACCAAACTGCTCTGATGCCTGGAACTGAGTCTCTGAGTCACACTGGAGGGGTTAAAAGCCTATACTGCTCTTTTCAGGTTACACCACAGCATTTCGATCACATCTGGACTTTGACTAGGCCACTTCAGGTGTTTCATTTTATTCCAACTGAGCTATTCAGAGGTAGACTTCTTCACTTACTCACTGTCTTGCTGGATAACCCACTTGTAGTTTAGCTTCTGCTCACAAAGTAATGATCTGATCCTTCAAAAATTTCTGTCCGAGAAGAGAATTCATGTTTTCCTGAATTCTAACAAGTCTTCCTGAAGCACCAAAGCATTTCCACATCATTACACTACCGCCTCTATGCTTGGCCCTATATAATGTTCTTTCGCTATAATGATGTGTTTATACTGTGTTTACTTCAAAGTTAGATGAAGTTTTAGTGTTTTGGTGGGTCAGCAGTGGTGTTCACCTTTTTCGGACAGTGTAGTCACGAACACTTACCTATACTGACATGTAAGAGGCCTGCAGTTCCTTGGATGTTTTCCTTAGAATCTTTTGTGATTTCCTGCTGGAGTGGTCCCTGTGCTCTGGCAGGAATTTTGAAGTTTGGCCACTTCTGGGAAGGTTAACTATTATTCCAACTCTCTCCGTCTGTAGATGATGTTTGTCACTGTGGCTCTGTGGAGTCTCAGAGTGTCAGAAGTAGCTTTGTTACTCCTCCCAGACTGATGTTTTTCCTTCACCTTCTTCATCTCTTTTTTTATGTTGGCATAGTGTGCCACTGTTGAGACCTTTGAGTCAACTCCCTGCTTCTAAAAATCATCTATTTAAGTGACCATCCTCAGGTCCATCATCATCATCTGTAGAGCCAATGTCATGAATAACATCCAGTATCAAAGAAAATGCTGCTCTGGAATAAACAAACAAACACTTCTGTATCATTGTGTCTTGGTTCAAGCATTGGCTCATTATGAGGTCAAATTTTCCACTATGACATGTAAGGAGCATTTGGTAAAAAATAAAATAAAATCTTCAATAAACATCTGGTTGCTTGTAACCCGACACAGAAGAAATATTGTTTCTTAAATGTTTTTCTATCATTTTCACACTAAAACACTAGGTGTGCATTGAAGGGTCGTGCCACATGGGGTGTATTCAGTGTTTCACACCAGAATTTATTGTGTTTCTTTTTGAGGGCCCACAAAAAGGTTGAAACAAGTGCAAAAACACTATTGAAGTACTTTAACTCCAGTACTGTTAACGTCACTACTGCACAAGATCAGAGAAAATGAGGAAACACCCATAAAAAAACTGCATCAGAGTTACAATAAAGAGCGAACGAAAAGGTGTTTAAAGAAAGGTGTATATATATATATATATATATATATATATGTAATGCAACAGACCACAGCTTGCACATTTTAACTTCATTCTTGCATTCTTACATTAAATCTATCTACTCTGATTCAATATTAATTTCAGTACATAAGGTTGTAAACTGAACAATTGGATTTTGTGACCTGACTTTAAATGTTGTCCTGGAATTTGTGTATCTCAGTTTTATCACTGACAACTTGAACCTAAAATGTATCAGATGTAGTCCAGCTTTTCAAGGATCAAAATGTTTATTTGTTTCAGTCATCAAAAGCCTCTGTACTCTGTCACATCTGGAATTTCCCATCCCATAAGGCTGTGGTTGATAAATTGAGATGCCTGATTGGTTGACTGATCGAGGCAGACATTCATGCCCTTCTCACTGACTGCCGTCTTCCGTGTTGTACACACACACCCACGCATGCACACACACACTCACACACACACACACAGAGCACAGCACAGTTTACCGTATGGCATTTCTCAGCCCCTTAAGCGCTTTTGAATGGTTGCTGGTGGCTCACTGGGATGCAGAGACATTAAAGCAGTGAATGAGTGTATTCTTCTATTTTAGCTGACAGCTGCCTCACCTTGACAGAGGTAATGGTGGCCTACCAGCAGAGCTGCAGCAGACACCAGGTCCAACCCAGAGAGCACATCCTGCAGCAGCTCCAGGTATGCAGCTTCAAATCAGTGTTACTCTTTGTACATGTCACTCAAACTGCATGAGGCATGTCTTTTCGCTGGAGCTGTTGTTGAAGTTTGAGTTTCTATGGGCGGTGCTGTTTTCTCTGGCTGCCACTATTTACATTCACTGCTCATTCTGCTATGCGGGAACCTACTGGATTTACCACCATGGAGTCTAACGGTGCATCCATAAGTGTGTATTTTAACTGAACTGAATGAAAACTAAAGGCTTGCACAGACTACAGGGCTTTCAAAAAAAAAAAAAAAGCAGACCTTCAGTATTACTCGTACTTTAAGACATTCTTGTGTCAGCCTGCACACATTTACTAATCTCAGCCAAGATGTAGTAATTCTGAGATTTTTACAGTTTGAGAAATCTGAA